GTAGCTCTGACTTACTGAAGTTCAGCAATCATAAAATCAATTGTTTGAGCATCCAGGGAAAAACAACAGATATGGTCCATATCTTATATCCAAGATAACTCTGATATACATTATGAACATTAAAAAAAAAAATGTAAGAAAACATATAACACCCTTCGTGAACAACAGAATTAGTTATCTGTACAGTTTAAATTCTTCCAATTTTGAAATGTGTACATTGAACTAACTGATCACAAGGCACAGAACATACTATCCCCATTTAGGATCTAGCTATGCAGCACAACGCACCGCCATGAAACTTAACTTGTACAACAGAAACGATATAGGTCTTGTTACCATAGGGCTCCATCTCGGCTTAGGAGACAAGGAAGCACTGCAGTAACACAGGTAACTGCTTCCACTATTCAAACTAACTACTTATGCTGTACAGATTTTAACGAGACACGGGAAATAAAGCATTCCCTTCCCTCTTGATATCTAACATGTAGCTCCATGCTTTATTTACTGTACTCTACAACTGTTGTAAAGACAGAATTATCTTCTTCCTCAGCTTTTATGTGATACTCATTGCTGTGACACTTGCATGGCTCATAAAACACCGTAAAAAGGAATGATCTTGTTTCACATCTGAAGAGCTAAGGCACAGTGTTCAAAGTTTTAAAAAAAAAATACAAATTTTCAATGTCTGCTTTGAAGCACTGTTTTTTGTTTTTTGTTTTTTTTTTTTAAAAAGTACACAGCATGATACATCATGCCATGCACTTAACACACTACTCCCAGCACCAGGTGTGAGTACTCAGCACTTTTAACATCAGCCTGCACCTCACAGGAACCCTGAATTCTATCCCAGCCTCATCAGCTATGCAGACCTAACATGTATATACTTCAGCTTTCCAGCACCACAGGCAGAAGTCCTACGGATCTAGTCTTCTTCACTGCATGCAGGCGCCACTTTGAGCACCAAGAATAAAGTACAGCCAGACACGCAGCGTTACAACCAAAGATTAGCCTTTGGTACGGAGAAAGGAGCGACTTACCCCAAAAGTAGGGATTTCTTCACTCTTCATTTCATTCACCCGAACCAAGTAATTGACAAAGTCTCGAGCAGCATTGCTCTGTGCATCTTTCTTGTTAGTGGAATTGCCCATGCCAATGTAGTTAAAGCCTTCTACTCGAACCTGCAAATTAAAATACAGCTCTGTGGTAAGTACAAGTGAAAGCGTCTTGAAAAGGCAAAGTCGCTTTTCCTATAGCTCCTCAAAGTATAACTTGTGGTCAGAAATTTTTTATACCTACTAAAGAAAAGTGTCAATAGTTCACTCTCAGAGAGCATGAATATTTCACAAAACCTTGCTGAAGAAAATGAATCAGTGTAGAAAGGGACACTTCCAGCAAGCAGCAGCAAACTCTCCCCAGGCTCACTTCCTCAGCCTTCATCCCAGTCTGTCTCAAACAACAGGGACAGAAGCGAGCTTGCATGTCTTCTACTGTACTGCATGTCTTCTCCACGTTATTATAGCGAGCAAGTCATAATGCATTTCATAAACTTGGGGCGACAGTTTAGAGCAGCATCTTTCTATCTTGCTAGTTTATCTGAGAAGCTGCTACAAAATTTGAGTACGCAACAGAAACCTTTGAATTTCAGACTGACCACAGGTTTTACAGCTATTTTTCTGCAACCACTGCCTTTCATCTTAAACAGTTATTTTCCATCCTTATAGGTTTACACTCTCAGCAACCTCATTTCATTTGAGCTTCATTTGGATAGACCGGTTATGTGCTTCTGATTCTCATTTCTCACTCTCCTGACCATCTGAACAGCTTTTTGCTGTAGTCAGTGGCTGTTCTTAAAAAAAAGTGAGTGCAATCGCATACGACGTTCCAGTTAGCCCCAACTATTCTGCCCAATAGCACTAACGCTAGATTGCATTTATCTTTCCGTGCTGAATCACATGGGCAGATAATACTCATTTTCTCATCAACAAACACATTCAAATAGTATTCTGCCTAAGAAGTTTCCAAATAATGAGTTTCCAGCCTGCAACAGACAATCAGCCTACCAGGCCAATGGTAATACCAGTCAAACAGTAACTGTGCTGGATTTACAACCACCATATCATATTGTGAAAATTAACAGAAGAGAATGCTTTCGTGAGATCTATCAATTCAGCCGTTATATTTCTATGGATACTCACAGGGTACGTATCAGCAGTCAAAACAGAGGATGGTTCAACGATATAATTATCAACAATTCAGCCACACATGCAATCACTTTGTCTGAACAATTATTAAAAACTGATATGTTATTTTACTTGTTTTCTCACAGAAATAAAACGTGAAGAAGTACATTCGAAATAAGAGCAGCAACACCAGCTTACCACCCTCTGCTGACACCCGCTACGTGAGCAGGTAGTTTGCTGCTGTCCAAAAAGGTTTTGCCCCATCCCTAACTTTTTGCAAAGCTTCTCCAGATTTTATTACAGAAACTGCAAATTCGGATTTTGTGGAGTAAAATACTCTCCTTTCTGCATGAAACAGAAGTCTGTACGTACATGTTATGAGAAAAGAAGAGCACCTACAGAGGAGGTGATAATACAGAGCACCTACAGAGGAATGATAATACAAAGATCCTCAGTCTGAGAGCAATTAGCATATGGTCAAAGGTGGGGAAATAAAAGAACATAATCCTTAGCCTGTATAGCAGGGCCTGCGAGAAAATGGAGCAGCCCAACAAATTCAGAAGTGCTCAGACACTCCCAGAGGTACTTTTAAAGACGCTACACAACTACCAATAAAGGGCGACAATAGCCATGCCCAGCAATAATCACTTCCATACGGCAGCCATTCATTTGAAGTCACAGCGTCCCCTCAAATCCTGATAACGCTGTTCAACCTCAATCAACTGTACCACTAGTATTGGCCTAACGTCACTGTACTGCTCAGTTTTGTTATGGGGTTTTGGGGCGGGGAGGTGGGGGGAAGGAAGGAATTGACAAATTCAATGTGTTTAGTCTAAATCTATGATTTTTAACTAATCCACTCTCCGAGCAGCCTCGGACTTAGCATTAGCTCCTTCTTGAAGATAGTCTGAATTTTAAGTTCTCTGGCGGAGCACTCAGGACTTCAAGAGCCAAGCACAGAGCAACGTTATAACAGCACACAGACCAGAAGCCCACGGAACAGCATCTTCTTTTAATACGTTTCAACATAACTTCAGCAGATGATCAACTTTCTTTCGGGTCACAGCCGTGGATACTGGCGTTAATGCACATATTCGTGTCAGAACAGTGATTCTTTTCTATGGCAAGAGCTTTTACCAGGCTACTTTATGCTCACAAACCAATTCAGCACGTTTTAAGCCTACACGTGAGAAATTTAAATTTGTAATCACCGGCTTAAACTTTAAATTTGCGATTACCCTGAAACATTAGCTGAGGTAAGAGAAGAGGTGCCTGGATCGTCTAACTTTAAAACAGGCAAGCTTTCACGCGTTAGGGTCTCTTTTAAATTTTTGCTAAACCCCTAGTTGCCAGCACCGCTTGTTATAGCTCAAGGAATACCGCACGTTGGCGCAGGGCTCTCCCACACACGCTCCATCTTTGGATCCCTATTCACTGCCAGCCGTGAGACGCTCCGGAGAGACATCGCTACATCAAACAGCCC